TATGCCTTTTAAGCGTATTTAGGTGCTGTACATGGAAGCGCGACACCATTTGTTCTTTTTATGTTTATTTATTTTGTTTTTTTTGTTATTTTCTTTTGTTATTAACAATTTTTTTTGGTTTTCACGTAAATATACAAACATCACATTTCTTTTTATGTTTATAAACGCATTCAGGTATATAGCCAGGTGATAGCAGCTTCCTGTTCTTTATATTTATATTTAGTTTCAGTAGGGGCAGACTGACCATTTGGAAACTCGGGCACTGCCTGAGGGCCCGGGGTCAGTAGGGGGCCCTATTAGATGCCCCTGGTACCTTTTTCATAGGCTTTTTTGAGTTTGGGCAAGGACACAGGGGCCCCATGATCCCCTATTGCCCGAGGGCCCATCAGTTGCCAGTCCGCCCCTGAGTTTGAGTAGCGCAGGTGGTTTACATACTATATTCTCTATGGAAACCTAATTGTCAAAATCTCATATGAGTGTGAACATGTTAATGTCATTTCAAGGCGGAAACCTTTGCGGCCTTTACAACCTTAAAAATCTGCAGCTTTTATCAAAATAATCACCGGTGAAGGTCTGTATTAAGGCACTTCCTGTTAAAGGGTGACAACGCTCTGTCTGTGTCTCCAATTGCGTTCCTGCGTTGTCACCCTGACATCCGACGGAGGCTGCGTGGCCATTTCAATAAACATTACACAGGCATGGTCCGCTGTTGTCACTATCGGGAAACCCGTCCTGAGAAAGGTTATGCAGCCATCAAGGGAGTGCATAACGTCATGAAATTCAAGGGTTACAAGGAAGCCATTATCAGTGATTTTCACCCTTATGGAGCCCAGGGCCTTGTCTCTGTCTCCAATTGATTAATATTAATCATTCCGCATTGTATATGTATGACGATATAAAAAAAAATAAAATTACATAAATAAAAAAAAATATACAAATAAAATATAAATGAATTTGATTTACTCATTTATATTAATCATTCCAGGTTGTATATGGATGACAATATGAAAAGACAAAATGACTTAAAAAAAAAAAAAAAAGTAAATAAATAAATTATACTATACAATAATTTGATTTGTTTATATGAAAAGTCAAAATGGCATGAAAAAAATACAAAAATAAATAAAAAAAGAATATGAAAATATAAATTAATTTGATTAAGTAATCATTATTAATCATTCCACGTTGCCAAAATAAAAACAAATGGCATAAACAAACATAATAATTATCTGTCAGTAGAGAGGAAAATCTTCCAATGGGATCACCAGCTCAACCATAAAAATAAAAACCTGACAGAGGTACTAATCCTTCCCTTCTCCACCCATGAAAAGACAAAATGACTTAAAAAAAAAAAAAGTAAATAAATAAATTAAACTATACATTAATTTGATTCATTTATATGAAAAGTCAAAATGGCATGAAAAAAAAAACATACGTAAAACAAATAAAAAAAGAAAATATAAATGAATTTGATTTAGTCATTTATATTAATCATTCCAGGTTGTATATGGATGACAATATGAAAAGACAAAAAGACTTAAAAAAAAAAAAAAACACTGTTGGAGGGTCGAGGAACTATGGGGGGTTGCAGGCTGTTCCACAGGCTAGGAGGTACTGTGTGAATATGGGAGTCACTGTGGGGACACAGTTGGAGGTTTGGGCAACTATGGGGAGCTGGGGGCTCTTAATTAGGCTAGGAGACACTGTGTAGATGAGAGGCACTGTGGGACACTGTTGGAGGTTGGGGCAACTATGGGGAGCTGGGGGCTCTTAATTAGGCTAGGAGACACTGTGTAGACATAACTATATTGGGCTGGAGGCTCTTAAGTAGGCTAGGAAACACTGTGAAGATGAGAGGCACTGTGGGACACTGTTGGAGGTTGGGGTAACTATATTGGGCTGGAGGCTCTTAAGTAGGCTAGGAGACACTGTGAAGATGAGAGGCACTGTGGGACACTGTTGTAGGTTGGGATAACTATCAGGGGCGAACTGACCATTTGGAAACTCCAGCACTGCCCGAGGGCCCGGGGTCAGTAGGGGGCCCCATGAGATGCCCCTGGTACTTTTTTCATAGGCTTTTTTGAGTTTGGGCAAGGACACAAGGGGCCCCATGATCCCTATTGCCTGGGGGCCCTATGAGTTGTCAGTCCGCCTCTGATAACTATATTGGGCTGGGGGCTCTTAAGTAGGCTGGGAGACACTGTGAAGATGAGAGGCACTGTGGGACACTGTTGGAGGTTGGGGCAACTGTATTGGGCTGGAGGCTCTTAAGTAGGCTAGGAGACACTGTGAAGATGAGAGGCACTGTGGGACACTGTTGGAGGTTGGGGCAACTGTATTGGGCTGGAGGCTCTTAAGTAGGCTAGGAGACACTGTGAAGATGAGAGGCACTGTGGGACACTGTTGGAGGTTGGGGTAACTATATTGGGCTGGAGGCTCTTACATAGGCTAGGAGACACTGTGAAGATGAGAGGCACTGTGGGACACAGTTGGAGGTTGGGGTAACTATATTGGGCTGGAGGCTCTTAAGTAGGCTAGGAGACACTGTGAAGATGAGAGGTACTGTGGGACACTGTTGGAGGTTGGGGTAACTATATTGCGCTGGAGGCTCTTACATAGGCTAGGAGACACTGTGAAGATGAGAGGCACTGTGGGACACTGTTGGAGGTTGGGGGTAACTATATTGGGCTGGAGGCTCTTAAGTAGGCTAGGAGACACTGTGAAGATGAGAGGCACTGTGGGACACAGTTGGAGGTTGGGGTAACTATATTGGGCTGGAGGCTCTTACATAGGCTAGGAGACACTGTGAAGATGAGAGGCACTGTGGGACACAGTTGGAGGTTGGGTAACTATATTGGGCTGGAGGCTCTTAAGTAGGCTAGGAGACACTGTGAAAATGAGAGGTACTGTGGGACACTGTTGGAGGTTGGGGTAACTATATTGCGTTGGAGGCTCTTACATAGGCTAGGAGACACTGTGAAGATGAGAGGCACTGTGGGACACAGTTGGAGGTTGGGGGTAACTATATTGGGCTGGAGGCTCTTATGTAGGCTAGGAGACACTGTGAAGATGAGAGGCACTGTGGGACACAGTTGGAGGTTTGGACAACTATGGGGGGACTGGAGGCTCTTCAGCAGGCTGGAGTGCACTGTGGGAGGCTGTGTGGAACTGCAGAAGGTTGGGGGACATTACGGAGGTTGAGAGCTCTCAGGGGGACTGGGGCACTTTGGGAAATGAGGGGAGGACAGTTATGGGAATTTGGAGACACTATGGGATGCACTGTGGTATGTCAGGGGATCAGCAGCTGGCTGGTGGCCCAGGAGGAAGAGACCACAGAAAGGCAGCGGGCCATGGCCCCATGGTTGGGAACCACTGGCCTACATCATTTCCCACCTTCAGTGCTGTACTTATGGCAGATATTTTATCTGTGTTGCACATCAACTGGAAAAGCCTATTCAGGATAACACGAAGCTGCAGGAAATCCATTGACACGCCGGTGAGATACATCACCTAAAAGGCGATCGGCGTGTCAGTCCTGAAGTAAATATGCCCTCTATCCACAGGTATATAATCACCAAATAGACATTATGGCTCATTAAGGTGATTGACCATTCAAAATCAATACGGCAAGTGAATTTCGTACATACTCAAGTAAATTAAAAATGTCTCGAAGGAGAGCTCCAGGGGAGGAGGACACGAGAGAAAAAATATCTCTCAGAATTATTGTTATTGTCTTCACAGTTTACCAGAAAATTATGCAAATTTGCAGCCAAGCCTGTCATCTTCAGGTGGATGGACAAGAATAATGGCGGCTCAAAGCTTTTAAAAGAAACGGCATTGTTGTTATGGTAATCGGGAGGCAATAATTATAAGCAGACATTCCCCATCTCTCTCGTATTGATTACTGTGTCCTCGGCGCAGGCCTGCTGAGATATCTGGCATCTTAAAACTATCACCTCCATCAGATGATGCATGCCTCGTCGCTCATAGCCGGGGCCCGCCACTTCACGGTAAACAGGCTTATTCTCATCATCCCCTCAGGTTTCCTCTGGAAAAATAGCTGATAAGACCAGAAGATATTATAATGTGGTAAAGAATGATTCGTTCGGCTTTTTTTTTCCCTTCGTTATCTAGAAGGTTGTGCTGCCACACTGTTGGCTGAGGCCCAAAAGGGTCGAGGCGATTCACTGCAGACACAAACACGCAGGATGAATGAATTAAAGCTTGAAGAAGCTGTTTCCATGAGTTGTCTGGGTACAATGCACAGACTTGTAGCCTGGCAGTCCCTGCTTGTGCATGAAGAGCCAGTCTGTGAAACAGTATATTACCCTAAAAATGTTTAATTAACAAAAAAAAAAAAGAAACCTAAAAACTCAAATTCCATGGAAGCCAGTGAGGGCATTTTTTTTTTTTGCTGCTTTATCTGTAAGTAAAGCTAATGATGAACAAAAAGAAGCAAAAAATATGCTGTCATTAGTAGGGTGTCCCTAAAACTGGGATGGTTCCCTACCACCACATAGAGCTGTCTTCTTCCTATTATCATTCAGAATTTATTAAATTTCCAAGAGTTTGCACAGCAATTTACAAAGCAGAGGGAGGTCTCAGTTACAACAAAATCCAATACATGGAAGTGCAGCGGGCTCTGTTTATATAAACTTACAATCTAAAAGCGAAGGACAGGTGATTCCAAAGGTGATAACTAACATCAAAATAACAGCACAAGATCAAGATCTCCAAATAAATATATTATAAGTGCATAAATCCAAAATCAAATGTCCAAGTGAAAAAAATATCCTTATTTTCATTGAATTTCAGTGTATAATTTATTCAACATATGCTGCCACCTTCTACCACGTGCAAAAATAATATCAACCGCACTCACCAGATGCACGTGAGAAATAAGCCTTATAGGATATAAGGGATCCTAAGCCCTCTAGGTAAGATCAAAACTTCTTATTCACCATTAACCACTTCCTGTCCGGACACTTTTACCCCCTTCCTGTCCGGACACTTTCACCCCCTTCCAGTCCGGACACTTTCACCCCCTTCCAGTCCGGACACTTTCACCCCCTTCCAGTCCGGACACTTTTCCCCCCCTTCCAGTCCGGACACTTTTACCCCCTTCCAGTCCAGACACTTTCACCCCCTTCCAGTCCAGACACTTTCACCCCCTTCCAGTCCAGACACTTTCACCCCCTTCCAGTCCAGACACTTTCACCCCCTTCCAGTCCAGACACTTTCCCCCCTTCCAGTTCGGACACTTTCCCCCCCTTCCAGTTTGTAAACTTTCCCCCCTTCCAGTCCGGACACTTTTCCCCCCTTCCAGTCCGGACACTTTTACCCCCTTCCAGTCTGGACACTTTCCCCCCCTTCCAGTCCGGACACTTTCACCCCCTTCAAGTCCGGACACTTTCCCCCCCCCCTTCCAGTTCGGACACTTTCCCCCCCTTCCAGTCCGGACACTTTCCCCCCCTTCCTGTCCGGACACTTTCCCCCCTTTCCAGTCCGGACACTTTCACCTTCTTCCAGTCCGGACACCACCTCCTTCCAGTCCGGACACTTTCACCTCCTTCCAGTCCGGACACTTTCACCCCCTTCCTGACCAGGGCAATTTTTAGCTTTCAGCACTATCACACTTTGAATGACAATTGCGCGGTCATGCAACACTGTACCCATATGAATTTTTTACCATTTTTTTTGAGACAGATAAAGCTTTATTTTGGTGGTATTTATTCACCGCTGGGATTTTTATTTTTTTTTACTATGTAAATGAAAAAGTCCAAAAATTTTGAAAAAAAAGTGTTTTTTTTTTTTTAAATTTTGCAAATAAATAATACTTCATCATAAATCTTGGCCAAAATTTATTCCGTTATTTTTTTAGTCCCGAGATGAACTCTGTCCGCTCATCTAGAGGGAGATCCTGGGGCTCCGTCCAGGGTATGAACACTCCCTCATAGAGGCTCTTGATTCTACAGTTGCTGAATTAGTGGAGCTATGGACAGTGGGCCTGGAAGAGGGTGACCTCACATATTCCCTAAAGGGGAATCCCGGCTGACCTGTCTTATCCTGTAACCAAAAGGAGGGCTGATTACCCCCAGGCTGTATCCAGACCAACCCTGAGAATGGAAATCTGGCAGACCTACCTATATATGATACAACCAGGGGCGGACTGACAACTCATGGGGTCCCCGGGCAATAGGGGATCATGGGGCCCCTGTGTCCTTGCCCAAACTCAAAAAAGCCTATGAAAAAGGTACCAGGATCATCTCATGGGGCCCCTTACTGACCCTGGGCCCTCGGGCAGTGCACGAGTTTCCAAATGGTCAGTCTGCCCCTGGATACAACGCACTAATTATATGCGCATCGAGTGAGTGCGCATTTTATCCATTTCTTGCACAACCACCTGGACATATCAAGTTTACTAGGAATAATAGCATCATCAGGAGATCATTTTGGATGAACTGTGCCTATTCATTTACTTTATTATTATACAGTATTTATAAAGCGCCAATAGTTTTTCAGCGCTGTACATTACAAAGGGGGACAGAACATGTGACAGAACAATACCAATACAATGCAAAACATGAGGGGATCGAGGGATTTACTTATTTTTTTTAATATTTTATGACATAAACACAGGTATAATTTATGGTGTGTTTTTGCTGAAAAGTTTATGAACTTTTATTAATTTTATTATTTTATTATTTCATAAATTGACATTTTATTATTTACAAACAGATTTCTATTTATACGCATATTCGCCTTACTAATAATTTTAGCGCTGCACTTTGTATATACCAATATTAAAAAAAGTTTAGGATTTTTTATTTTGGAAAATGTCATCCTGCAAAGATATTCTACTGGAGTGTACCAGTTCTACCCATGAATATAGTATTTATTTATGCCTTTCTTGTCCTATATTTCCTTCAAGTTGTGGAAAAAAAATTTAATTTTCTGTGCCCGAGTTTCCAAATGGTCAGTCTGCCCCTGGATACAACGCACTAATTATATGCACATCGAGTGAGTGGGCATTTTATCCATTTCTTGCACAACCACCTGGACATATCAAGTTTACTAGGAATAATAGCATCATCAGGAGATCATTTTGGATAAACTGTGCTTATTCATTTACTTATTTTTTTTTTTATATTTTATGACATAAACGCAGGTATAATTATGGTGTGTTTTTGCTGAAAAGCTTATGAACTTTTATTAATTTTATTTTATTATTTCATGAGTTGACATCCAGGGGCAGACATTTCCTAAACATATCAAGTTTACTGGGAATAATAGCGTCATCAGGAGATCATTTTGGGTGAACTGTGCTTATTCATTTAATTATTTTTTTTTATATTTTATGACATAAACGCAGGTATAATGATGGTGTGTTTTTGCTGAAAATTTTATGAACTTTTATTATTTTTATTTTATTATTTCATGAGTTGACATCCAGGGGCAGACATTTCCAAATGGTCAGTCTGCCCCTGGATACAACGCACTAATTATATGCGCATCGAGTGAGTGCGCATTTTATCCATTTCTTGCACAACCACCTAAACATATCAAGTTTACTGGGAATAATAGCGTCATCAGGAGATCATTTTGGATGAACTGTGCTTATTCATTTACTTATTTTTTTTTTATATTTTATGACATAAACGCAGGTATAATTATGGTGTGTTTTTGCTGAAAGGTTTATGAACTTTTATTAATAGTTTTTTATTTTATATTATTTCATGAGTTGACATTTTATTATTTACAAACATATTTCTATTTATACGCATATTCGCCTTACTAATAATTTTAGCGCTGCACTTTCTATATACCAATATTTAAAAAAGTTTAGGATTTTTTTTATTTTGAAAAATGTCATCCTGCAAAGATATTCTACCGGAGTGTACCAATTCTACCCATGAATATAGTATTTATTTATCCCTTTCTTGTCCTATATTTCCTTCAAGTTGTGGAAAAAAAATTACATTTTCTGTTGAGCCACGGTCTGCGTCGGCTCTCGATAAGCTTCAAACTAATTACAGCACCTGATATCAGTAGATTTTTATTGGAAGGCTTGAAATGAACAGCTGTTCCCCGCTACAAAACAAGGTATTAATAGAAATGTCAATTCCGTTACATAGCACTGGTCCAAGCTTCGTTATAAACCAGCTCACAATGAGCTAGAAGAGCTTATAGTTATTGACCCAGAAGGAAGCAGAACTTCTACATCCAATCAGTTTACAAGTGGAATAAAGCACAAATAAGGATACGCATCAGAGGAAAACCTAGGGAGAAATGGCTGCATGAATTGCAAAGTAGTCTATCTGACCTCAAGCATGCTAATTCACTTCCTGGGGGACTTAATCAACCTCTTTGTTGAAGTAAAGATAAAAGTTTTTGACAGCAAATGCTGTTCAAATAAAATGGAATTTTCAATTACTTGGCGAACATCTGGTGTGATCTAACATCAGTGGGACACTTCGCGACATAAGAACCCAGCTCTTTCCTTCGCGCCAAAGGAGGGAATTTCCTCCAACAAATGTGTAATGCAAATTCTCCCGTAAATAAAAAAAATAAATAAAACACACATATGAAAAAAAAGCCTTAAAAATAAGAAATTTGGTAAAAGGTTTTTTTTTTTTCCATGATGGTGAACTCCTGGCAGATATTATTGACTGCTGTTTAATTTACATCTGAAGGCTAAAAAGATCTCATATCCAGTCGCTATGTGATGCAAGAGCCTCATGTAACAACGCCACCATCTCTCCCACCCCACACGCCAAAGTCCTGGGTGTCACCCTGGACTCCCACCTCTCCTTCCTACCCCACATCCAACTGCTATCTAGATCTGGCAGGCTCCACCTCCGCAACATCTCCAAGATACACACATTCCTCACCCCAGACACCACCAAACAACTCATACACTCCCTCATCATCTCACGCCTGGACTACTGCAACTCCCTTCTCACTGGCCTACCCAAACGAACGCTATCCCCACTCCAGTCTATCCTGAACTCAGCGGTGAGACTCATCCACCTCACCAACCGCTCCACATCTTCCTTCCCCCCCCTCTGCCAATCCCTTCATTGGCTCCCGATTGCCCAACGCATCAAATTCAAACTGCTAACTCTGACCTACAAAGCCATTCACAATGCCGCCCCAAACTACATAACTGACCTGATACCCAAATACTACCCTACCCGTGCCCTCCACTCCTCACAGGACCGCCTACTCTCTAGCTCTCTGGTCTCCTCCTCCCACACCCGATTGCAGGACTTCTCCAGGACTTTACCCATCCTCTGGAACTCCCTACCCCAATCCATCAGACGGTCACCTACCCTCCTCACCTTCAGGCGCACCCTGAAAACCCTCCTCTTCAGGGAAGCCTACCCCCAACCTCACCTAACAACTAACCTCCTCCACTCCTCCCACCACTCCATCCCCCACAGCCATCTCCTCCTGTACCACCTTCCCCTCCCTCCTAGATTGTGAGCTCGAAAGAGCAGGGCCCTCGAACCCCTCGTGTATTGTATTGTTACTGTCTTGTCTCATGTTCTGTCCCCCCTTCTGCAACTGCAACTCCCTTCTCACTGGCCTACCCAAACAAACGCTATCCCCACTCCAGTCGATCCTAAACTCAGCGGCTAGACTCATCCACCTCACCAACCGCTCCACATCTTCCTCCCCCCCTCTGCCAATCCCTTCATTGGCCCCCGATTGCCCAACGCATCAAATTCAAACTGCTAACTTTGACCTACAAAGCCATTCACAACGCCGCCCCAAACTACATAACTGACCTGATACCCAAATACTACCCTACCCGTACCCTCCGCTCCTCACAGGACCTCCTGCTCTCTAGCTCCCTGGTCTCCTCCTCCCTTGCCTGACTGCAGGACTTCTCCAGGACTTCCCCCATACTCTGGAACTCCCTACCCCAATCCATCAGACGGTCACCTACCCTCCTCACCTTCAGGCGCACCCTGAAAACCCTCCTCTTCAGGGAAGCCTACCCCAACCTCACATAACACCCGACCTCACCTAACAACTAACCTCCTCCACTCCTTCTGCCACTCCATCCCCCACAGCCATCTCCTCCTGTACCACCTTTCCCTCCCTCCTAGATTGTGAGCTCGAAAGAGCAGGGCCCTCGAACCCCTCGTGTAGTGTACTGTTACTGTCCTGTCTCATGTTCTGTCCCCCTTGCTACTGTACAGCGCTGAGCATACCCTTTGGCACTATATAAATACTGTATAATAATAATAATATATAAATATAATTAAAAATATATTAAAAATAATTTTAAAAAATTATCTCCTTTGTGTCTCACACACTCCCCCTCTATGACACTTCAGATCACAATGGAAGGGTTTTAGCAACCGAGGTGGTTCTGTCAACCCAGAAATCAGTAAATAAAAAAAAATAAATAAAACTCACATATGGAAAAAAAAGCCTTAAAAATAAGAAATTTGGTACAAGTTTTTTTTTTCCATGATGGTGAAACTCCTGGCAGATATTACTGAATGCTGTTTAATTTACATCTGAAGGCTAAAAATATCTCATATCCAGTCGCTATGTGATGCAATAGCCTTAAAT